ATGCTTTAAGATCTGTTGGTATGGGACCCGTCAAGCTGACTACGATACACCAGCTTCCAAGTTATAGACACTTTCACACTTGTAATTAATTTAGGATAGGAACATCAAGAGCTATTGCAAACCTGAAGCCACCTATCTTCACTAATAAGCGCGTTCACTTGCTGAATATTGCCTTCTTACTTTGACGAAGCTCCCAAGACAACCTGCATGAGGCATGTGGTGCATCTTCTAGATTCGTTCACTTAGCGTTAAACAACTTTACTGCGCTAGTGGTATACGACCTGATTTTTACTAATGCCACTTTCTCCACATGCATAGAATATTTCTATGGAGTTCTTTACTTTACACTAAACAATTATGTGACATCTCACACTACTGCTTTTGGCCATTTCTCAGAGAGACGAGCCATGTTTAGTGCGACATCTCACGCGCTAATATCCATGGGCGCAATTGATATCTTAAATAAGCAGTGTACATTGTCTTTTGAACATCATAATTTACATAATTTGAAAGTAAGAGCTATTACTGAAAAAACACATTTATTTATTTATTTATTTATTCATTTATTTATTAATTTATTAAATTTATTCGTTTATTAATTTATTTATTCATTTGGGGGACAGCCCTCGTAAAAAGCAAAAATGCAAGTATTAGTATATTATTATGTCGAGAAGCATAACAGATGAATACAATTTTTATATGTTTGTAACTCGGTGGGCTGACCTTCCTCTTGCTTAGATACAATAATAGTCCATAAGCATAAAAACCTGTTTAAACACCGTGTTAGTTCAGAATACCTCGGATTTTATTCTAGTAGACATAAAATATTATTGAAAACAATTAAACTCATCATCTTTAAAAAAAGTTTCAATGTTTCATCAAAGGGAGCTCTCGTGGGCTAGAGGTACGGTGTTTGCTTCTAATTCAATTGGTCTTGTATCAGGACCTGACAGCGACTGAAAAATATTTTCTTATCTAAAGTGTTCGCCTTTTATCCCTTTTCCAGTTTTCTAAACATGTACTGTCATTTGCTTTCATTTTCACTTTCTTCCCCAACCCACGCCCACCCTGACCCCCTCTCACCTATACTCCTACATCATTCTACATGTACTGCTCCTTCAGGATCCTTCACACTGCAGTCTGTCAGCCACACCCCTAATCTTAGAGTAGGTAAGATAGAACACCTAGCATTCTCGAATGAGGGCAACATATCTCAGAGGTCCCGTGTGCAATTTAAGGACCAAAAATCGATCAAAGTTGGCTTCGGACGCCACCCAAGTAAAATGCAAAATTAATTCCTACCAAAACTACTCCAGTCAATATAAAAATATAATAGAGGGCCTTCAAAATTGGAATGTGGCTGCCGGAAGGCAAGGGGCCCTACTGAGTGGGAAAAACTGTCACATAATATGTAAAAATCAGTTGTACTGCAGTTTGAAGAACCAGCATTAACCTACCCCTGAGATCTAGCAGGAGAACGCAAAGAAGAAGAGAAAATGAATGTTTTATCAAGCATTTCTGTACAAAAGTCATAACATTGCTCCAAGTTAAATACACATAAAATAATTACTTCGTTTGATAACAGGGAAAACAGACTAGAGATCAGGCTAATTTAGATTGTAATTATGTATACTTGTAGAGGACATTTGGAGTTTTGCAATAATAGCAAATTGGGCTTTTTTTTTTTTACTGTAAACACTTAGTTTCAAATCAATGTAAAGCATCATTTAACCCTAACCGTACGTCGTGTTTTACTATCGTATCCATACGACGTGAGGAACTCTGTGCCACTACTTTCCAAAGAGAAAATTTACTCGTTAATCTGATCCGTATGCTTGGCATAGCAGTCTGTCAAAATGATTTTTTGAGAAATACTGAAAATTTCAAAGAGATCTTCGAACTAGAAGTATTCTAAAATGTAAAGATTACAACCCTGGGGGTACAAAATGACGCCAGGGCGTACGGATAGGGTTAAGCACGCAAATAATTATTAACGATCGCAAAACAGATTGTTTCAACATAGTGTTAGCTTGAGACAACAGCAACTGACTCAGTTGAACTTAAATGTAAAGGGCGGCGGTTACATCACGTCATTTATATACAGTGTACGCAAATAGAGGTTTGCCAGACTTGGCAGGCCACCAAATGTTGTTTAAACTAGGGTTTTAGGCCTATTGACTTCAATCTTGGCTTTGTGATATTCAAAACTCCTCTCTTAGGAAGCAATTAGTATCTGTTGGAACTGGCATTTTGTCAAAGAGCCTTTTCTTTTTATTTGAAAATGATTTAAACGCTGTAACACCTTTAAGCCATCCTACAGAAACAATATTATGCCCGTAAACATTCCCCTTTGAAATGAAATTATTGTGTCCGACATAAGGTTTAGTTCAGTTTTACACGAGATAGAGACACCTCAATACTGCAGACCAACCGGTCCACGAGTATCAGTAAATCTAAAATTCCCCTTTGTGATTACAAAAAAAGTTTTCTGAATACAATTTCACTTTCTCGAGATTATAAGTAAGACCAAAATATTTTTACGGTAACAACTTTCGGAATATAAACACACATTTCAGTATGTTTCAAAGTTTTGAGCAGTGTTGTGACACGATCAAGACAAGGAATGTATCGTATTTAGACCGAGATAACTTCACTGACAACGATGGCTACGACTATAGTAGAAATAACAACCTAGTTCGTGGTTATTCCTTCATCTTTATTGTGACGATTGCTATGTGTGGTGTTGCCACTAACATCACCAACTTCATCGTCTATTTCAACCAAGGCTTTCGTGACAGTGTCCACATATCGCTGACGAGTCTTTCGATCTCTGATCTCCTAACTGAAATCACACTGATAGTCAATGGCTGGACTGTGATCAACACAGAGTTTAGCCTTTCATGCTACAACCCTGGAGAAATTTGGTTCCTGAGTGTCTGGTTGTCACATGCATTGTTTTTAAATAGTTCATGTGTTGCTGTCTTTATTGCTGTGGAGCGCTGCCTCTGTGCAGCTGTTCCATTCAAAATTAAAGACATTATAACCCCAGGCCGATCTCTAATTATTATCGCAGCAATTGGCACAATTTCCCTGACAGCAATTTGCCCGGCAATGTCACTGATTGACGATTCATGGGGAAAAGAGGCCACAATGAACTCTTCAAGTTTGAACTCTCATGACTATTTTCCGGACTATACGTCTTTTGAAATGAAAATTACTTTAAGAACCATTTTTACTGTACAAAATATAGCTCTTGGGTGTCTATCTGTTTCGACAGCTGTTCTTGTGATTTCCTTGAAACAGAGCGCCAAAAGAAGGGGGGTCGTAGTGGCCATGGGCGCACAGGGCCAGAACACTTTAATCAAAAGAGATAAAAGAGTTCATAGAATGATTATCTTTGTGAGTGCGGTACTTCTTATCTGCTACACTCCAGGGCAAGTACTGATAATCGTGGGTGTGGCAGAGAAGGAATTTGGCCTTGGACGTCGGTACGAGTTCGTCTACAGGGCGGCCTGGTCCTTGTCCTACGCCCTGTATGCAGTCAACTCATGCGTGAACCTTTTTATTTACTACAAAATGAGTTCTAGGTACAAACACACTTTGAATCAGCTGTTGGGTGTGTAATCTGAACTGTAGGAGGAAGAGAAGAATGTGTCATTGTGCAGAGTCCAAACTATAGAATTTGTTTATCACCTGCCACAGGGAAAACTGACCAACAGAAGTCTTGGAAGAGCGATGGATTTTTTTTTTTAGAAATGTCTTTTAGAAAGCCACAATCAGGCAATCACAAGTTGAAAGAGTCGTAAATTACATATGCCACTGAGTAACGATGTGTTTAAGAAATATTTTTTCGAAATTCAAATTCTAAATGTTGAAAAGATAAACAAGAAGAGAAAACACCATTATTTAGTAGGTAGGTACAACAAACTAAAGAATAGAACAGTTGTTTCTCTCTACGGACACATTTTTCTTCTGGGTTCAATACGTTGAAAGGAAATATTTCCATTTTGTATTTTTTGATGTTTATATGGCCATATTCTCAAACACAGACGTTGTATAGGGTGTAGTTATTCAGAGATGTTACAGTACAGCTAAAAAGGTAAAACGTATAAGGGGCCGATGGTGTAAGTTGCAGAAGGTTAAACATTTCAAGCTTTAAGGAGCATGTTCTTGAGTACATACACAATACGCGGATACCCTCTCAAAGTGCTCTCTAGCGCAACTCCTGTCCCATAATCAAGGTGTTCAAATCAATTTTCAGTTGCTCAGTTCTTTTTGATTTTGCATGCTCTACGGTAGGTGGGGCTTTTTTGTTATTTAGTTATGTGTTCGCTGAAGGTCTTATTTGCTCCTTGCCCATTAAAAAAAATCAATCCTTGACATAGGATTAGTAGAAAAAGGTGAACATGATAGTGTTAGGTATTATGCACATAATAATTGTAACATGTTAGCATAATTTATAATGATTTCTTAAAACTGCAGTCGTGTTTTTCTTTCCTGGTGGAATGTCCGAGATCCTTAGCTTTTCATTAAATTTCAATTTCCATACATATTAGAAACATACAATTAGCATGTTGATAATATTAGCAATAAAATTCAAGGCTTTAGAGATCGATATGTATTGTCATCGATGATGACAGAACTGTTATAATTAGTAAAGATTCAATGAGACAGATACATGTCAAGAAGCTGAGGGCAAAGATGACTCTAAATACGAGGGTGGTAGTTAGTGCTGTTGTGAGATAGTGTTTATGTGAGAAAAACATTGAGAAGACGCAATGTGTTCACACACTGGTTTGGATGATTATGTTAGCCTTATCTTTTACTGCTTCAGTGAGTTTGTCAGTGTTATCCTATCCTATCGGGCCAGCACAAGTGAAGGGAAGCCCTAAGTCGATAAACAGCACAGTGGCATGTCGGGCCTTCGTAAAATGCAATAGTAATATTCTAATTCATAATCATTTGCCACAATTACTCCCCCCCACCCCACACCCCCGAGTTCTATTAGACATGGAGTTGTGGAGATTCTGACACAGGATTGTCCAACCCAATTCGAGAGTGACATTTTTGAAGTTTTATTATTTTTTTAAAAAATCCTTTTAAAACATGCTTGAATTCTTTTGAATATATTAGTTGCTCGACTTGGGTAATTTTTGTTTGTCTCAGTATACTAATACATGTATTATGACCACTGATTTCCTCAATAAATTCGGTATAACAATATTATGGCGTTTTGACTTAACTATACTTTCAGAAACAGCAACACCTTGGGCTGTATGAACGCCTCCCTTGGAGTTGCAGGCAGTGAACATGCCAAATGGACACTCTGGTAGGGCAATGTCCACTTTTGGTATAGGTCAAGATTTCTGGAAACCCCCGAAATCTGGGTTTGCCCGCTTGTCCTTAAAAACGATTAATTAAAAGACAGTTAGGGTTGACCCAGCTTATCAGAACCAAGCGGGAAAAGTGTGGCAAAGATTCCACCCAAGCAGGCAGACGGAAATACTTGGCAAAATAACTTCTCGACACGGGAATTGGACTGACGTCAATTGCAAAGATTCTAGATTTTACACTACTGACACAGGTGCCTCTTGAATTTATAGTCAATCTTGTTCCATGAATATGGATTACGTATTATGTATCTTTGGATCCTGATCTTCTGAGTCTAACAGTAACTGTGAACCTAAGCTTTTGTGTCAACTAAGGATATAATGTTATTTAACTCACAACATCCAGAGGTTGCGCTGTAAGTAAAGCGTGTGTATACTCTGAGTTTTGTTGTTATTTTTTGTAAGTGTTTATGGCGCTCGCAATTGCATACGGTCATATGAACACGCGGGACACACCAAAAACATTTTCAGATGGTAGGAAATTTTGAATTTTGGCCGGGTGGCGGCCGAAGCCTACTCTTGTCAATTTTGAACCATCACGGGATCTTTAACGTGCGCGACTTGCACACGGGACCTCTGAGATTTTTTGCCTTTGTCCGAGAAGGCTAGTAGGCGTAGATATTACCTACTATGAGGTCAGGGGTGTGGCTGAAAGACAGCAGTAGGAAGGAGCCAAGGAGAAGCAGTAGAAAGGCAGCAAAAAGTCAGGAGCCCAGAGGAGGAGGTAAAGGAGGTCAGGGGGTGGGGGAAGAAAGTGGAAATAAAAGCAGATGATAGAACATTGTTAGAGAGCAGGAAAAGGTGTAAAAGGAGGTAATTTTGAGAAGAAAAGGTTCCGTCGCTATCTGGATTCGAACCCGGGACCTATTGAATGAGAGGCGAACAGCTTAACCTCTGGGCCACGAGAGCTCCCATGCTCTGAGTGAAAGGTACAAACTTCAATGAATACAAAAAGGAAACATTATACTTTACCTCTGAGTCGGCAAAAACGCACACATTGGTAGAGTGTCCGTCAGCTTTTTCTTCTCGAGAGTCGATCACAATGACACCGTACAGATAGGCTGGGTTCTCTGGGTGGGACAGTTTCACTTTATCTTTGGCCTCGGCTGTAGACACGTAGTAGGGTAAAATCAGTCAATCAGGTCGTATATTTTTTGGCAACGTGGTAAATATTTTAAAAAATAAGTCAAGCTATTCTTCATTGGAATCAAATCCATTATTTGCAATCACAACCCCCCCCCAAAAAAACCCCCAAACAAACCCCAAACAAACAAACAAAACAAAACAACAACCCAAAACAAAACAAAACAAAACAACAATAAACAAAACAACAACAAACAGACACAAGCAGAGACAATTAATATACTAACTGTCCTTAACATCAACTGATGACTCATGCACACACGACTGTTGTTTCTCACGGAGGAGGCTACCAATCAATGGCACTCAACATACGCCTCTGGTTGACGAGGGAGATATTGTAACACTTCTTTAAACTCATGGAGAGACCTCTGATTTAAAGCTAGTCCCTGAGAGGACCGAGCCAAGTGTGAGAAATATGGAGCTAATCGGAGGAAAGGTAAATTGAGAACTCTCGAAACAAGATGTTTAACCCTATCCGTACGCCCTGGGGTCATTTTGTACCCCCGGGATTGTATTCTTCACATTTTAGAATACTTCTAGAGCGAAGATCTCTTTGAAACTTTCAGTATGCCTTAAAAAATCATTTTGACAGACTGCTATGCAAAGCGTACGGATCGGATTAACGAGTAAGTTTCCTCTTTGGAAGGTGGTGGCACAGAGTTCCCCACGTCGTATGGATACAATAGTAAACCACAACGTACGGATAGGGTTAATTAAAAGGCGGGACCTACGAACTTTAGGTCAATCTCTGATAGTATCTATCCCAAAGGGAAGATTCATTGAAAGTGCCTTTCTCAAGGACACAGCGTGGAACTGAGCTAGGCCTCTAACTCCCGAACCAGCAATGACAAGTACGTGTCCGGTAGCCTAACGAAATAGAATCACCAACGCAGTGGGGCAATATGAAGATCTACTGACCACAGTGAAGAGACGAAAATTAAAATGGTATGGGCATGTCACAAGATCA